CCCCTTATTTACTATCTGGTTCCTTACCAAAAAGTGTGCAGACCCCTGATACTGTAACTACCAAACATTTTAGATTAGAAGCTTGCTTCGTTATCCACACTGTTATATAGTTTCTCTTCCAGATTTAACATTAGAGTCCTTTTGTAGTATTATGTATTACATATGAAATGCCAGTTTGTTAGTCTGGGAATTTGATAAAGAGAATTACACAGATGTTGTAGACTTGAAAGAACAAAAAGAGAACCCAAAGATGATAACTGCAGGAAGCAGCCTTCTCCTGAGGAAGATTATTGTTGTTGTTAAGTGCTGTTGATTTGGTGCCAACTCATTGTGACCCTGTGTAGAGTTTCTGGGCGGCCTGATGTGGTGCTGTAGGTTAATGTACTGGACTGCAAAGTTGTCTTGAACCATATAGTTGGCAGTTCAAGCTCAACAATCACTGCTTGGAAACCCTAGACAGGGTTACTATGGGTTAGAAAGGAGCTCTGGTAGCGTAGCGGTTACGAATCGGGCTGCGAACCTTATGGCCGATCCGCTGGAGAAAGATGAGGCTTTCTGCTCCGGTAAAGATGTACAACCTCGGAAACCCTGTACAGGGTCGCTATGGGTCGGAACCGACTCGACGGCACTTAACAACAACAACAACAACAATGGGTTAGAACCGGGCTGGACAAAGAAGGCACGACAGGGAAGAGGAGGTAAAAATGTGTAACAACCCTCCGGACGTCCTTTTCCAAATATCACTGCGCTGCTTTTAGCGCTGTTCCCAGTGTCAGTCTGGCTGTAGCCCCGGCCTCTGAACTCCAGCACGGCGGGGTGGCCGCAGGGGGAGTCCTGCCTCAAGTGATTCTTAACTCGCAGTATTTTCCTTTATATTGTGATTTTTTCACTTGCACGTGTGAGAAACTGACGCCCTGTGTCTTAGGTTAGATCCAGAGCTCTGGTAGTATTCTGTGAGCGCAGCTTCTCTGGGTTTTCAATCCTTCCCCCTTGGAGCCATTCCTACCTGGCTGTCTCTGCTGCCCGCCAAAACCAGAACTCTCCTTACTTTTAATATTCTCCTCTTAACGTCATAGCTCAGTTGCATCCGTTCTTCTACAGTTTTCCTTATTCACTGTCCAAGTTTGGCATGCATTTGAAGTTATTGAAAATACCATGGCTTGGGTCAGGTACACCTTGGTCCTCAAACTGACATCTTTGCTTTTGAGCTCTGTAAAGAGGTCTTGTGCAACAGATTTACCTAATGCAATATGTTATTTGATTTCTTGACTGCTATTTCCATTAGTGTTAATGGTTGATCTGGGCAGAATGAAATCTTTAACAACTTCAATTTTTTTCTCCATTTATCGTGATGTTATTTTCTGGTCCAGTAGTGATGATTTTTATTTACTTTACATTGAAGTGCAGCCCATATTGAAGGCTGTGGTCCTCAAACTATTATCTGTACTCTTGAACACTCTAAAGAGGTCTTATGCATCATATTTTCCTAATGCAATACGTTGTTTGATTTCTTAACTGCTGTTTTCATGAGTGTTGATGGTAGATCGGGTAAAATGAAGTCTTTCACAACTTTCATCTTTTTTCCACTTATTATGATGTTATTTATTGGTACAATGATGAGGATTTTTGTTTTCATTGAGGTGCAACCCATTCTGATGGCTGTGGTCTTTGATCTCTATCAGTAAGTATTGTAAGTCCTCTTCACTTTCAGCAAGCAAGGTTATATCATGTTGTTGATCTTTAGAACAGCGCTTGTCAGTTACACATCAATTTGGATTTCTTGGAAGAGATCAAGAACCAGATGCCAGATGACAATTTTAATTTGAGCAAGGAGTTTCCTTTTTCATCTTTAAAAATAAACAGGTTGGACTTGAGCTCTGCTTTTCAACTAAAAAAAACCCACATTTTTTTTCTGAGCATTTGGCCATGACATATCAGACAAAAGGCTTTTCTTCAATTTCAACATCTCAACAAGAAAAAGACAAATAATAAGATAACAGACACTTCACCAAAGAAGACATAAGAAATATAATCATTAGCTGTTAAAGAGATGCAAATCAAAACAACTAGGTATCACCTTGTTGTTAAGTGCCTTGAGTCAGCTCCAACTTATAAAAAACCCAATATAGGGTTTTCAAGGAGCAGCTGGTGGGTTTGAACTTCTGATCTTGTAGTCACAGTTCAGTGCTGATCCTACAGCACCACACTAGGGGTCCACCTTACTCCTTAATAGCAAAGTTAAAAACAAATACGGAGGGCGGGGGTGTGTGTGTGTGACAACAAATGCTGGCAAGTGTGTGAAGAGACTGGAACCCTTCTGCACTGCTTACTGGTGGGACTGTAAAATGAAGTAATCACTGTGGAAAATGGTAGTACTTCCTCAAAGAGTTGAAAATAGAAATATGTCCCAGAAATAAGAGGTGTGAAACAAATAGATATATGCACACCAATGTTTATCTCTGGAGTCCTGGTGTGACGTTTTGGGTTAATGCGCCAGACTGCAAAGCTGTTTGAACTGCAAGGTCGGCAGTTCAAGCTCACCAGCTGCTCCTAAGAAACCCTACACAGGGTCGTTGGAATTTACTTGACAGCACTTAACAACAACAACATGTTTATCGCTGCACTATTCGCCGTAGCAAAAATATGGAGACAGCCTAAATGCTCATAAACAGAAAAATGGTTAAACAAACTTTGATACATACATATAATGGAATAGTATGCAACATTGTAGAATAACAATGAATCTGCAAAATACCTCAGAACATGTATTAACCTGGAGGACATTATGTTGAGTGACATTAGTCAATCACAAAAGGACAAATATTCTATGAAACCACTGTTATAAAAAGTAAGAAAATGTTTTCTTGATAGAAGAAATGTTCTATGATGGTTGGGGGCAGGGAAGGAAATTTTTATGGGCTAGAGGGTTTGTTGTTATTAAGTGCCATCGAGTCAGTTGCAACCTATAGCGACCTTGTATAGGGTTTCCAAGAAGCGGTTGGTGAGTTTGAACAACTGACCTTGTGGTTCAAATGAGATTGCAGTCCAGCACATTAACCCACAGCGCTACACCAGGACTCCGGGCTAGAGGGTGGTGTTAAGTGCAATCGAGTCGGTTCTAACCCATAGCAACCCTGTATAGGGTTTCTGAGGAGCAGGCTGGTGAACTTGAACCACCAACCTTGCAGTTCAAATGGCTTTTTGTAGTCTGGCACAGTAACCCACAGAAGCACACCATGACTCCCAGGGCTAGAGGGTTGTTGTTGTTGTTGTGTGCCATTAAGTCATTTCTGACCTGTAGCAACCCTGTATAGGGTTTCCAAGGAGCAGCTGGTGTAGACACATGTTATTATGTGTGATGGGGAATCAATATAGGCAGAGGAAAGATTAGGTTATCGGGAGGCGTGGAGGAATAATGCAAGAGTTAAAAGCAATAGAGGTTAATACTGTTAACTGATGGTACATGGAGGAGATTGTAATCTTTGTAATGAAGCAATGGGTATGATTTATTGAATGTCAAACTGCTCTGTAAACCTTCACTCAATTCACAATAAAAAGTAAAAAAAAAATAATTTCCTAGTTAGAATTTGATACCAAAGGATGATTTTATTGGTGTGTAACTCTTTATTTTAATCTGCAGGTGTTTTGGGAGAACTGACTCTAGAGAGCTCCCCTTAACTTCTTTTTAAGCCTGTGTGTGTGTGTCCCTCCTTTATCCTTGTGGATGAGGGAACTGCAGGTATCCAATGGATTTAACCTCAAATTCCATTCTGTTTAAATGTATTGAATACCTGCTCTTATGCCAGATTTGTTTTAGACACATATTTGTGTTACTTCATGCAGCCCTTTCAAGGAGCCCTTAGTGGTACGGTTAATGTTGTGCTGCTAACTAAAAGCAGCCAGTGGTTCCAACCCCCAGCTGCTCTGTAGGAAAATGATGAGGCAGCCAGCTCCCTAAAGGTTCACAGCCTTGGAAGGCCTGTGAAGCAGTTGTACTCTATCCTATAGGGGGCTGTCATGAGTTGAAATGGACTCAGTAGCAGTGGGTTTGATTTTTTTTTTTTTTTTTTGCTATCCTTTCAGTAGAAAGTATTGAGTTACTGTTATCCATATTTCACAGGTGAGAAAACAGCTTTTCTTATTTTTACTGTGTATGTTTTAATTTTTTGGGTCCTGGTGTGGTGCTTCAGGATAATACGCTGGACTGCAAGGTCAGTGTGAACCACAAGGTCAGCAGCTCAAATCCACCAGACACTCTTTGGAATCCCTACACAGGATCACCATGGGTCTACACCGACTTGATGGCACTTAATAATATTTGAAAGTTCAGTTAGTTTATTTATATTTGTTTTGTTTTGGTTCTTGGTCCTGAAACAAATTTCTTACAATTACAGACTCTTACCAATTGAGATGATTTATTTTTTTTACTGTGTGCCTGGGAAAGTTTCTAGAGTTCTCTCTGGGTTTAGAGTCTGTGTTAGTACATATGCTCATCCAGAGGAGAGAAGGGACAGTCGGTCAGGTTTGGTTGAATTGCTAATTAAAGCCATACAAATTATAAATTTTTACTGGATTTTTTTTTTCTTCCACATTTTGTCTTCCTTTTATTATTCCCTCCTTTCTTAGGGCACAAAGGGTAGGGGCTCCAGTACTTTCCCTTGACTAATCTTGAAAGGGGTAGGGATATTACAGGGGGAGCGTTGATGGGCTCCTCAGAGCTATTTAGTAGACACAGTGGATATTTCTAGACCTCAGATTGGGGCTTTGTTGTTATTGGTTGCTTACCTGCTAGTCTTCATGGCAAGGAGTTCTTGACATGCTTAGAAGTGAACTGGCGTGTTTTGTTGAAAGTTGGAGGACCAACTAAAGCCTTGTAGAAACTGCCCACCGATATCATGAGGTGAATGATGACTTTTACTGTTCCAGACAGCCAACACCTTGGAAGGTTTTTTCAGGTGCCCAGTGTCCTTTCAACTTGACATACTTATTTCTTCCTGCAGGGATTAAAGCCTGTGGTTTCCACAGAAGCACCGCCTATCATATTTGCCACACCAACTAAATTGACCTCCAATTCTGCGTATGATTATGCTGGGAAAAATAAAGTTCCAGAACTGCAGAAGTTTTTCCAGGTAAGAAAAGATCAGCACCGTGGGGCGAAGATGCCTGTGAGATAAAAACTCCTTATGAAACTGAGTCATAATCTAGCTCACTATCCACTTTCCTTCTTTTTCCTAAATAAAACTTTCTTGATCTTAGTTTAAGCTGTTAACGAGTTGAATCCTCAGTAGGTAGAAACTTATGAGGATGGGTAATTTTCTCAGCGTTATTTAAGAGTATGCTTTTCAAATTGCGTGTATAACTTTTGATAACCCATTGGTGAGGGAAGCAAAAGCATGTATGATAACACTGAATAATTCAAAAGACATATACAGATTTGGCATTTTGATACATGTAGTGATTTTGGCAGTGAGTTTTTTTATAGTTGTTTTTTCCTTGCTGGATATTAAAATTCACTGAGGTGTTGCTGGAACCAGAGGAGACCCTTTTGGGTTTGCAAAATCAATGGAGAGAAGCCAAAATTAGAATGTAAAATTTTGCTAAAGTTAAATCTGCATACAGAGAGTTGAGTGGTTAGGGCCTGACGTTGCCCATTAACTGCCCCTTCTCCAAATGTAGGTGCAACTTAGGGGTTGTTGTTGTAATGTGCCGTGGAGTCGGTTCCGACTCATAGCGACCCAGTACAGAGTTTCCGAGGCTGTAAATCTTTACGGGAGCAGAAAGCCTCATCTTTCTCCCGTGGAGCAGCTGGTAGTTTTGAACTGCTGATTCTGAGGTTTGCCGCCCAATTCGAACATGCTTATTTTGATCACTTTAACCCCATTAATCTGATAAGATACAAAAGGACATTTGGGGTCTTAAGCTGCAGCAGAGAAAAGATTTTCGAGATGGTAAAATAATGGGTTAAACATCTGGTAGTGTAGTGGTTACAAGTCGGGCTGCTAAGCTCAAGCTCAGCAGTTCAAAACTACCAGAAGTTCTGTGGGAGAAAGATGAGGCTTTCTTTCTGCTCCTATAGAGATTTACAGCCTCGGAAACCCTATACAAGGTCACTATGAATCAGAACCAACTCCACAGCACATCACCACCACCACCACCATTATTAAATGGGTTTGATAGCTTAATGGAAAGAAGACAGTTGAATACAGAATGGTCTTGAACCTGTTAATGGACTTGGTGTGCTCATACTTCATCCACTTGGGATCAGAAGTCAAACTCAGTGTTGAACTGAAGATAGAACACCTTTGTTCAGCTGCTGAGTACCTTCACCTTTAAAAATTTACCACTGCTCATTCTGTAGTTTAGCAGTATGTGGGACTTGGTTTAGAAATTTGTAATTTGTTGCCTGCGTCTTTCCTGGGGCTGCATTTTGGAATGGCTTTGGATTTCTAAGCTATAACTGTATTTACCAGGTAATGTACCAGCATTTCAGCTAGTGTGTGTGTGGATTAGGGCTTTTTCCACGGTGGTGTTTTGATGGGTTAGTTATAAAGTAGAGAAACTTGTTCTTTTTTAGCCTGATATTGTAAAATATTTTCTTGGAAGTGTTGCTTGCTCTTACCAACCTATCCATGTTAATTCTTTCCTTCCAGAAATCTGATGGTGTTCCCATTCACCTGAAACGAGGTCTGCCTGACCAAATGCTTTACCGGACCACCATGGCACTGACACTGGGAGGGACCATCTACTGCCTGGTTGCCCTGTACATGGCTTCACAGCCCCGGAACAAATGAGCTAGACTGTGGAGGACTGGTTTATTTGGGGGCATAAATCCTTTGAATTTTTATTTTTCATTATTTTTCAATTTTTGTTTTTTGTTTTTTGTTTTTTAAACTTGGATGGGCTACCTAATTGTAAGATGAAATGGATAGATTATTTTGGCTTGCTCATGAAATGCATATGCCTGTCAGCTCATCCGACTGTTAAAACAATTGTTTTAGCAAATGATGCTGTTCTCCACACTTGGGTCCCTGATTTCCCTGGAGATGACAGATGAAGCTTGCATACAGGCTCCTCCGTGCCAATCTGTGATGAGGTGCTGTTTCAGAGCATGGGGTGCAGAAGCCTTTCTTGGTTTAGATGTGACCAAGAAAGGCAGACAAGCCAAGGCCTGGTGCATAAAATGAGGAGTGTGAGTTCTTAACCACCTTGGAGATTTTCCCATCTTGCAGTACAATGTTAATGAAAATTATTTGCAGCTTGCCTCTGTTCATGGGCAGTTTGTTTCAAAGGGTTATTTGCCTCATCTCAGATCTTATTGAAATTTCCTGTGTAATTGCTGTGTATTTATTCCACCATGGGAACAGAGAACACCTGTTTATTGTTGCACTTTAGACTGAGGTCTGTTTTATTAATGCAGCTGTGCCGCAAGTTCTGCTTTAACTTTTAAAAAATGTTATGGCTTTAAGTTATAATTTATTTTGGCTGTGGAATAAATACACGGATGTCAAATTTTCATTTTGAACTTCTTTTAAATAACCTTTCAGTATAATTTCAGAACACTTGTGACATCTTACACTGGCATCTTAATTTCTGTTTTTTAATCAGGCACCAGATAATATTTACAAAATGGTTCCCCAAAATCAAGTAACAGGAGGCTAATGGCATATTAATACTTACCATATGGTTCCTTATAAGAAACCTGCTTGCCCACAGTGAACTATGCCTGTAACACACATTTCATGTAGATGTTAATTTCCTGTGCTGTCACAACTGGTAGATTTCACTTATCCCTATATTAATGTTGAGAAAAGGTGGAACTCTAGTATCCATAAAATGATGATGTGTATTTTGCCACAGCAAGGAACAGTGACCTCTCATAGAGGATAAAATGGATGCTTGAAAATACCCTGTAGCACTTTTATGGAAGCCATTTTTTGTCTGTACAAGTTTGAACTTTTTTTTTTTTTTAACTTTTAATTGTGATTGAACGAAGGTTTACAGAGCAGATCATTAGTTTCACATTCAACAAATCACATACTTCGCTTCATTACAATGATTGCAATCACCTCTGTGTACCATCAGCTAACAGTATTTACCTGTGTTCACTTTAACTCTTGCATTCCTCCGTGTCTTCCGCTACCTTTATCTGTCCTCTGCTAGCCTCCGTCTTGTATATCGATCCCGTCTCCCATGCTAATATGTGTCTGTCTACCCTCTGGAGTCCTGTTGTGGCGACGTGGAACAAAGCACTGGACTGCAAGGTTAGTTTTAGCCTCAAGGTCGGTTTAAACTACAAGGTCAGTGATTCAAACTCGCCTTGAATCCTTGGAAACTATTTAGGGTTGCTGTGAGTTGGAACTGACTTGACGGTACTTAAAAACAGCATCTACCCTCTACCTTGAGAAAACTTTTCCTTACCCTGTAACCACCACCACCACTACCTCCACCCCCATCCCACCAGGGTAACCATCATGTTTATTTTCACAAGAAAACCTTTTCTTACCTTTTTACAACAGTGTGTTTTCTCATATAATAGTTGTCCTTTTGTGATTGACTAAAGTCTTCCATAGGAGTTCTGGTAGTGTAGTGGTTACAAATCGGGCTGTGAATCTCAAGGTCAGCAGTTTGAAACTACCAGCTGTTCTGCTGGAGAAAGATGAGACTTTCTGCTCTCGTAAAGATTTACTGCCTTAGAAACCCTGTACAGGGTCGCTATGAGTTGGAACCGACTTCAAGGCACATCACCACCACTACCAATGTCTTCCAGGTTCACCCATGCTAGACGTTTTGCATATTCATCATTCTTTGATGTTGTGCAGTATTCCATTGTGTTTATGTACCAAAGTTTGTTTATTCATTCCTCTGTTGATGGGCATTAAGGTTGTCCCTTTGCTGTTGTGAATAGTGAGTGCTAGGATGAACATGGGTGTGCATGTGTCTGTGTGTGTTACGGCTCTTGTTTCTTGAGAATATATGCCAAGTAGAGGGATTGCTGGGTCATGGGGTATTTCTGTTTCCAATGTTTGAGAAAGCGCCATTCTGTTTTTCACTGTGGTTGCAGGTTGCACCATTTTATAGTTCTATCAGCAATGTAGGAGGGTTCCTCTCAACAATTTGTTTTCTGGTTTTTTACACATTTCACATTGCTACTAATGCTGATAACCGACTCCATAGCACATAACCATCACCACCATCACCACTAATGCTGAAAGGAGCTCTGGTAGTGTAGTGGTTACGAATCAGGCTGCTAGCCTCAGGGTCAGCAGTTCAAAACTACCAGCTTTTCCGTGAGAGAAAGATGAGGCTTTCTGCTCCCATAAAGATTTATAGCTTCGGAAACCCTGTACAGGGTCGCTATGAGTCGGAACCGACTCCATGGCACTTAACTAATGCTGAGGTAATAATCTTGTTGTTTTGATTTGCATGTCTTTAATGACTAGGAATTCCTGGTGTGGCACTAGGATAAACACTGGACTGCTAACCACAAGGTTGGTAGTTCAGATCCACCAGCCACTCCTAGGAAACCCTATACAGGTTGCTATGAATTGGAACCAACTAACAACCACAGTGGCTAATGATCATGAACATTTCTTCATGCACGTTGGCTGCCTGAAAGTCTTCTTTGGTGTAGTGTCTTTTTAAATAATGTTCTCTACTCATTTTTTAAATGGATTATTTGTCGTCGTCTTGAGGTGCTGAAGTATTCTATAAATTTTGTCTGATACGTCATTTTTGCCAGTTTTTCCCAGTCTGTGGGTTCTCTTTTTATTCTTTAGATGAAATCCTTTGATGTATTTAAGTGCCTAAATTTTGGGAGGTCCCAGTCATCAATTTTGTTTTCTGTTTGTGTGTTTTCAGTTATGTTTGACAGTGTATTTATTGCCATATATTAGAGCCTCTAAAGTTGTGCCTGTTTTTTCATTGATGATCTTTATAGTTCTAGGCTTTACATTTCAGTCTTTAATCCATGTTGAGTTCATTTTTGTATATGGTATGAAATATGGTTCTTGTTTCATTTTCTGCAAATGAGTTTCCAATTTTACCAGCACCATTTTTTGAAGAGACTCCCTCTTCTCCATTTAATGCATTTTGATTGTTTCAGAACGGGTGAATTTACTTCCGGTTTCTCAAGTCTGTTCCATTGATGCATGTGCTGTTAGTTGTACCAGTGCCAGACTGTTTTGACTACTGTGGCTGTGTGTAGTTGGTTTTGAGATCCAAAAGGTTAGAGACCTCCTGCTTTGCTCTTTCTAAATAGTACTTTGCTTACCCATCATTTCTTTCTTTTCCATATAAAGTTAGTGGTTAGTGTTTCCATCTCTTTAATGAGTGATGTTGGTATCTGGATTGGGGTTGCATTATATCTATTGATTGCTTTGGGGGGGTGTTGATATTTTCACAATGTTGTCTTTCCTATTCGCTAGCATGATATATTCCCCCACTTCTACAGGTCTGTTTTGGTTTTTCTAGTGTTTTGTAGTTTTGTGTGTATAGGTTTTTTGTTTGTCTAGTTAGATTCATTCCCAAGTATTTAGTTTTTTGGGTAGCTATTGTAAATGGTATTGTTTTCTTATTTTATTTTCAGAAGTCTTTATTAGTGTAAAGGAATTCAACTAATTTTTGTATGTTGGCCTAATACCCTGCCCCTTTGCTGAATCTATCAATGACTTCCAGAAATCTTTTTGCCGAGTCTTTGGAATTTTCTAAATGTAAGAGCATATCATCTGCAAAGAGAGTTTTACTTTAATTTCCCTTGCTTGCCATACAGCTCTGCTAAATTTCCAACACAGTATTGAATAGGAGTAGCGATAAAGGGTGCGAGAGGAAGGTGAGGCTCTCTACTGCCATAAAGATTTACAGCCTTGGAAACACTGTACAGAATTGCTGTGAGTCAGAACCAACTCCACGGCACATAACCACCACTACCAGTGATAAAGGACATTCTTGTCAGGTTCCTGTTTGCAAGGGGAATGGCTTTAGTTTCTCACCATTGAAAATGATGTTGGCTTTTTGTTTTATATATATATATATAAATATACACACACACACTCTACGAGTCCTGGTATGGCATCGTGGGCTGATGCGTCAGATGCAAAGTTGTTTGAACTGCAAGGTCTGTGGTTCGTGCTCACCGGCTGCTCCTTGGAAACCCTATACAGGATCACTATGGGTTGAAATCAACTCAACGGCACTTAACAACAATGTTGAGGAATTTCCCTTCTACTCCTATTTTGTTAAATGTTTTTTATCAGGAATAAGTGTTGGATTTTGTCAAATGCCCTTTCTGTATCAATTGATAATGATTGTGATTTTTTTTTTTTTTTTTTTAACTTTGTTTATGTATGTGGTTGTGTATGTGGTTCTAATATTGACCCATTTCCTGTATACCTGGTATGAATCCCATTTGGTCATGATGTATTTATATATAGTTGGATTCTACTGGCTAGGATTTTGTTGAGAATTTTTTGCATTTATGTTAATGAAGGATGCTATTGTTGTTGTTAAGTGCTGTTGAGCTGGTTCTGACCAAATATGTGTGTATGCATATGTACTTTGATTTTATTAATCCACTTTTAAGGAGTGGCTGGTGAGCTTGAACCACCAACCGAGGTTCAAACTGACTTTGCAGTCCAGTACATTAACTGCCAGGACTTCCTAATCAGAGATATTAGTCTATAATTTTCTTTTTTAATGATATCTTTTCCTGGTTTTGGTATCTGAGTTATACTTTCTTCATAAAATGAATTTCGGAGCTTTCTGTCCTTTTCTGTATTCTGGAATAGTTTGAGTT